ACCAGAGTCATGAGAAATAATCTCTTGGTTCATCTCTGTACTAAAGTTTGAACCAATCCCAACAGTATCTGTAGAATCTTCCCTACGGTCAAGCTGATAACAGATGAAACGTGAGATAAGAGGAAGAGGCTTCTCTCGTATCATCCTGGATTTATCCAGGATGATACTTTTATTGACTTTATTGACTTTGAAAAACTGATCTTCAGGTCAAAATGACATGTTTTCCTAAAATCGCTGTCACACCATGTGTATGTTACAAATTACAAGAATTATTGGATTTTTTTAACTTTAATTTTTCACTTGTTAATCTCTCTCCTCTGCCTCTTCCATGTCGTGTCTCATCATCTCTTGCTCACCCGACCTCCCTTTGATGAGACTCTTTCCTGGAAAGCACGTGGGAGATGGTTACGGCCCTCCAGGTATCACTTTTCTTTTTTTAAATCACATAAAGTTTACTTTTTATAGACAAACCTAATTAAACAGTCACATCTAAAACACACAAACTCATCTGCAACTAATGCTCAGCCAAGTGAGCTGTAAAAATCAGCTTCGCAAACAAGCTCAGCCATAAACGGAGACGTTTATGGAAGAGGTCAGGATGTGGTGTTTCATGAGCACAGCAGGAGCGATGAAGGCTGCCTCTCAAAAATAAGAATTTCTTATCATATATTCTAACAGTATTTGTGAGCATGATGGAATTTCTTGGAGGAGTTTCCATATATGCAACAACAAATAGTTAAAACATAGATTTTTAAAATGAAAACAAAAGAAAAATGGGAAACCTGTCTCAAATATACTTGCATGAAACATCTCATTTGTTAATATGAGAAAAAACTAACTAACCAACTTCATTTTCAAATGTACTGGAGCAAGATAATAACAATTTAAATGAGATAAAACCTTGTCATGACACTTATCTTTATTGTTATCATGGAAAATTAAAACTTTCCATCATAACATTCCCTGTAATCTCTTTACATCATCTTTAATATTTGCACAGTATAAACACAGACTCTTTAATATCTCAGTAGCCGCATTCACAAATGTTTATGTTTATATGTTTATTTCTAACATATAAAAGAAGAAAGATAATGAAAATCTGGTCGAGCAAATGACACATTTATTGATTTATTTAGTGGTGGTGAGGTTGCGGGTGGTTTTTATTCTCTATGATATGGATTTCAATTAAATTTTACAACGTTTGCTTTGTCACTTGAACAGATTTACAGTTAACAAACACTTGACCTCTCACTTGGTTCCAAAAAGTGATGAACCTCTCAAATCAGGTTTAAACATGCGTCTATTTCAGGAACCTTAGATACAAGTGAAGGAGTTTATTGGTTTATAAATCTCCTCGCCTCTGCTCACTTCGTCTGAGATGCAGGTTAAGATGGAGCTTGTGATTATCAGCACGGTGAACTCGGTGTGCTCAGGATGGATTTGGCAACGGTTGACCCAGCAGCTATCAGGAGGATTATTAATGAAGACACACAAACACGGAAACTGCAGCAGGAACTGGGCGAACCCACAACCTTTGTCTGCTGCTTATATATGTGTGACTTTGGTCCTCAAATTACAAAAGCTAGACGCTGCTGTCACATTTCCAAATAATATAAAATGCTGGGTGAGGCTCTGGGTTGTCGTGACCTTGTGTCTTGTGGCCTTGAGCAAATCAAACCAATAGAATAGATAAAATATAATGTGCTGTTGTATTAGTAGGTTCTGTGTTTGACGCCTCTTCAGTGTGAAACTTTGAGAAACAACAATTTATCATCAAAAATCAACTAAGAATCCTTAAATAGTTTGATTGTTCATCGTTATCACTTAACTTCAGGTGAAATGTGATGAAATCTTTGCGATCGGATTCATTTTTAATGAAGAAAATAAAAAAAACTGAGTTGAAAACATACACAGTGCAGAGTCATTACACACATGGACGACCATTGGACCCTGAGAGCGAGCCGATAAACACCTGCTCAGTTTCAGGGGTGTAAAATGCAAAAAAAAAAAAGCAGAGGAAAAAGAAGACAAAGTGTGTGTGTGTGTGTGTGTGTGTGTTTGTGTGTGTGTGTGTGTGTGTGAGAGAGAGAGGGAGAGAGAGAGAGAGACGAGGGGGAGGAGAGAAAGCAAGACATATAAATGATTATACATATCTGCTGAGTTGGACACATCTCAGCCACACAACACCCTCACAGACACACACACACACTCACACACACTTAACCAAGAAGACTTTTCAACACAAGTCAAATCCAATCCTCACATTTCTGGATCTGGACACACTTTTGTTTGGCTGCTGGACGAAGGAGGGGGAGGATGGATCCGATCGTGGAAGTGGTAGCTCTGTTCCTGGGGTTCATTGGGTGGGTGATGGTGGGGGTCGCCCTGCCCAACCGTTACTGGAGGACCTCCACCGTGGACGGCAACGTCATCACCACGTCCACCATCTATGAAAACCTGTGGATGTCATGTGCATCGGATTCAACCGGGGTTCACAACTGCAGGGAGTTCCCTTCACTACTCGCTTTAAATGGTATGATAACAAGAAACACTTGATTTTCATTGTGCAATTTCAGAGTTTGGGGATTTTGACCCACAAAACATAAATCGTAGATCCCTTCAACTAAAAATAATAACAGGAAAACATATAATGTAACAAGATGCACCTGTTAAAGGACAATTTCAAGGTTTTATAGGCCCTTGGCCAAAGCCAGGTAGACGATGGTGAATCCAGCTGCTGGTTTTTAATTTCACGTCATCTCCAGGTTACATCCAGGCGTCTCGAGCCTTGATGATCGCGGCCATAGCGTTTGGCTCCATTGGACTGTTGTTGGCGCTGGTTGGAGTACAGTGTTCGAAGGCAGGAGGGGAGAACCAAATCCTCAAGGGGAGGATTGCTGGCACTGCAGGGATCTTGTTCATACTCCAAGGTAAAGTAAAGGATTGAATCAAAAGACAGGGAAACTGTTCTTTCTGTTGACTATGGGATTAATAAAATCTTGCTTTCTCAATAATTAAAGAATATTTGTGGGATGTTTCATATCAACAGGTTTGTGCACGATGGTCTCAGTGTCCTGGTATGCCTTCAATATCACTCAGGAATTCTTCGACCCGTTCTATCCTGGGACGAGGTAAGACAGTGGCATGTTGGGGGGGGTGTTGGATAAGGGACACCTGACATGAAGCTGATGTGTGTTGGCTGACTGCGACTCTGCACGCTGTGTGTTGCAGGTATGAAATAGGAGAGGGGCTTTACATCGGCTGGTGCTCGGCTGTGCTCTCCATGGCAGGAGGGGCTTGTCTGACCTGCTCCTGCAAACTGGGCAAGGAGGAGCAATAGTAAGTTCAGGTTTTAAGTGTTTGGTCCATACATGCTGTTAACGCCACCTCACAATTTTCAAATATAATTAATTGCAATTAAGTAAAACATAATGCATTGCTTTGTAAGGACTTGCAAGACTCTCTAGTTCCAGGTTTAAAAAAAGTGTCTTTTAGATACAGTGGACAGAAATAAAGTTTTTAGATTAAACTGTATTTAATTGTCAAAATGAATTGTGACGTACTGTAACTGGTGTCGTTTACAGTCATATTTATGATGTCTGTATTAGTGTGTCTGTAAATTGTTGTTAATCCACGTATGGGAGCTTTTACTGGATCTTACCATCTGAACTTCATGTCCACATGAACACATTTTTTATGACATGAAATTGTTATCAAGTTTGATACCAAAAGGGTTAGGCAACTACAATACAATAAACCCCAGACATGTGATGCTTGATTAGTCATGATCTCGTTACCTTTTGAAGGTCAAATATACAAGATCTAGAAACGTTTTAAAAAAGCAACCAAACAGTTTTTTAGAGTGAGGGTCCTGATCAGGGATCGCAACTCACACTCCCTCTGTGTGTGTGTGATCTGAGCCCCCCTTTTGTAGCTGCTCTGGGTGCATGTTTATGTTGGTGCAAGTTAAACTGTGAGACACCAATAAAACAAAAGGGTTCCAGCCCCAACTGGCAGTAAAGTCAACATGGCACCCTGATGGATGTGAAGCCCCGAAATACCTCTTAAGACCCATATACAGCTTTATCTCCTGCACACAGAGTATCTTTATTCAGCTGTTTTTCTAGTTGTGTGTTTAGGCCCCTCTTTCATTGGATTTAGCAACACCTTGCTGAGAACACTAAGGTAGTAGTGGCAATGAATATCACATATACAACCTTTAAAGAGCTCCTCCCAGACACGTGCAGCAATTCAAATGTGCCGGGGAGAAAATAAAAGAAATGCTGAAGGAGTTTGCAGTGAAAAGAGGCTGAGTGAGATAAGATAAGGGACATGTGGGTCAGAAACAAGGCACAAAGGTGTCAGGCAGCTTAAGGCCAAAATGTTTGAAAACCTCAGATGGCGCTCCCCAGTGGTACGACAAGAAAGTTGCTGCTGCAAATAAGCTGGACTGCACCAGAATCCAACACAGATACTTTCATCGTGTAATATGCCATGCGTTAATATTCCATTCCATTTAGCTGCTTCACTTTTAGGGTCTCTGTGCAAAAGCCTGATCAAATCCAATAAATGCTGATTTCCGTAAAAATCTGATTTACCGTGAGGAAATTAAATATCTACTCTGTGTGACTGACATTTCTGTTTCCCCCTCTTTTTTTCTTTGCAGCCCTTTGCCCTATCAAACCAGAGGAACTGTATATTCTGGAGTTGCTCCTACCAGAAGTGTGGCTGCCAGTACTTATGGCCGAAATGCTTACGTTTGAGCCGACTGTGAAAACAAAACTATATCGATCAAATCTCCTTTAAATGACAGGGAATTTTCTGTTGATGCACCTGACATGTCCAAGTGTTCCTTCTCTACTTTCTTTCTTTGTCCGTAACTGGAAGGAAAAGCTGAGCGTCCATGCATCCAAACACAGCACCACTGAACTGTAAATAACCACAATAACAAGTGTGTGTTCTGTAAAATGGAATCATAGCGTCGATGTTGTAAAAGTTGTACAAAGCTCTTATCACTGTTTTAATGCACATACACACCAAATGTTTCCAGTGATTTTATTTATGTTCCTGTTTGAGTTTATTCAGAAGGAGTTCAATCATGTGATTATCAACGTACACACTTTCAGACATCTGTAAGGGGAAGGTCAACGGTGTGATGATTCAGATTTCTGTCTCCCTGGTGTTTTATACAGTTTTTTGTCTAGATATTATCTGTGTAAGAAGGTAGAGGACACGTTGTCTTTGTTTGGATGATATTTTTTTTACGATTGCACACAATAAAATGTATTATACTTCATATTTCCTGTCTGACTTTTTACAAACAGCTGCAATGTAAATTATTATTTTTCTTTGAAACAGGTTATATTGTCATTAAATTGAATAAATATATATATATATGAATTAATAATTTAATAATTTCGCACCTATTATTATTACCTGTTACCTGTAACAATTAGACAAGAAGAATGTAGAGATGATTTAATTAATTCACTTCCTTTTCGAAAGATGTTACATTTAATAATGAATTGTCATTGACGTTTCACAGAGTGTAGATTGTAAATTGATGAGTGGTGGTTTCTATACCAAATTAAAAAATGGTTTTTGAGGTAAAAAGGGAACTGAACTCTATATATCACATATTATTTTACATAAGGTGCCATGATTTCATATACAGCATTTTATATTTTCAGTTCTTTCAACATTTACTGTACGTGTCATGATGCGATGTTTTATTATTCATAATTATAATTATTATAATTATGAATAAAAATTATCCTTTCACCTTTAACTTTCGGTTTCTGTGCAGGGGAGTGCCCGCCCTGTTAAAATAGTCTGTCCAATGAGAGAAGCCCACGTTTCTAGAAGAACCCGGATGAATGCTGTTGTGGACCAATCACAGAGATGTAGGCCAGAGGAGGGCGGGGCGGAGATGAACTCAGATCTGAAGTCATCAGCTGTTCAGTTTCTCCTCCGTCATGTTGAGACAAGAGGGTTTAACTTCACATAAACTCCACGTGTTCCTCTTCCGGGTGGAAAATCGCTGTTGAAGAGTTTTTATTTCATTTTTAATTTATTTTATTTTATTTTATTTTATTTCAGGGGGGGGGGGAACCATTCTGTGGCGTGTCCGATTTCCACACGGACCACAGTCGCGCAGGGATCGTAAATACAGCTCTCCGGCTCCGGCAGAGAAACGAACGATGAAGACTTCGCACAGAAAATCTACACTTCGATGAGGCGCAGCGGGATTTCCAGTCGAGGTGAAGGCCGAGCCGCGAAGTTCGCTGGTGCCGGTGTGAGGCAGTGAATCGGTCCGGGGATGGAGTCGTGCGGACGGGCCGGACTCAGCGGGGTCCTGTGCTCCCTGTCGCTGCTGTGTGTCATCCTGGACATCCAGCTGGACGGTGAGACTCCATTACAGCTTCTTTAAAAACACTCACCTGCCGACGCTGCAACACCTGCACAGATGGTTGGTGTTGTTTCTCCTGGTTGAAAGTTCCCGGAGAGATGTTAGCTGTTGAGCTAATGTGACAAGTTCTCCGGGTGTCGACTGATCCAACAAATGAAAGGGTCCAGTGTGGAAGATTCAGCTGAAAGGATCTGTTGGCAGAAACTGAATATAAAATAATCCCGGGGGTATTTCCACTGATGTGTTTCATGTAAATTGTACAAATTATTATTTTCTTTACCCTTGAATGAGCCCATCATATTGAAATACTTTATATTAGGGAGCGGGTCCTCTCTGTGGAGGCCGCCATGTTTTTTTTTTTACATTAGTCCAGACTGGACAAACTAAACCTTTTGAGTTTTTATGACAACTGAAGGCTTCCACAGGTTCTCTGTCACGTTTGGAAGGTGAGGTGAGGTGAGGAGTATTCAGCTGCAACATGTAACTTCACCACTAGATGTCACTAAATTCCACACACTGAACCTTTAAGCTCCTATGGTAACCTTCAGTCGTCATAAAAACTCAAAGCAGAGAGGACACGCTCCGAATGTAAATATGAAGTATTTAAATATAAAGGTTTGAACAGTTTCGATGAAAAACACAAGTTAAAATATCACTAGGATTATTTTATATTCAATTTCTGCCAATAGATCCCTGTCACGTAAATCTAAATACCTGACAAGTGAATACATGTACTTAAACTTATTGATCCCAAAATATTGATATAAAGCAGCCATACAGGAAGAAATGGAAACACTATAAAATACAATACAAATACATGTATCCATCAGTATATTATTCCATCTTTGCTGGACACTTGAATGAGAATGTGGAACGAGAGTCACAGTTAAGCTGGTGCAACTCACTCTAATATCATTTGTGTATTTTTTTATGATTTTGCCGTTCTGTTAATGCCAGATCAAATAGCGAAAAGAAATCTAAAAAGCCTAAGCGACAGACACACAGGACAAAATTAAACCGTTTGTATCTGCCCTCCAGTGCAGCTCATGCAGTTTTATGTTACAGGTGTCTTGGGGGCGACTCATGTTGAGATTGAGCACCACTTGGAAATGGGCCGCAAACTTTTGGCAGCCGGTCAGCTGGCAGAGGCCTTGTCCCACTACCACTCTGCTGTGGGTAAGGTTACACACCCCAACCTGCAGACACACATAGATATATTTTCACCGCTAGCTGACATTTATAGTGTATCTTTGCTCTTTTCATGATCATCCTTACCCATCCTACTCACTGCTGTTTGGTTTTGGTTTTATTTTAAACAGAAATGTAGTTTGAAGTGTTCTTGATATTTTCCAGAGGGAGACTCTAAGAATTACCTGACCTACTACAAGCGAGCTGCTGTTTTCCTGGCGATGGGAAAATCCAAATCTGCCCTGCCCGATCTGACGAGAGCCATCCAGCTCAAGCCTGACTTTCTGGCTGTAAGCTCACATGTTCACTCACCAACAAAAAGATCAGTCTCAAAAATCTTGTTTCCTTGTCTCCTGGGGATTTCTTTCACACCTCCTCTTCTTGTCATCCCTTTACGCTCCTCCATTTTCAGGCCAGGTTGCAGAGAGGGAATATCCTGTTAAAGCAAGGCAACACGCAGGAGGCCTTGGAGGACTTTGAAGCAGTGGTTAGTTAAACCTTCCCTCTCCTAAATCACTGTTTTTATCATTTCAATGTTTGATTATGTTTGAAAATCATGTCGTTAAAGGAGAAATCTATCATTTTTTGTAGTTGCACCGCTCTCCAGAACATGAAGAAGCTCACATCCAGCTAACAAAAGCAAACGAGCTGGAGGAGCTGCAGGAGGCCGCCCATGCTGCGTACCACCAAGGAGACTACAATGCTGCCATCAATGAGCTGGAGAGAGTTATTGAGGTGTGTGTCAGCTTTCAGTGGGGTCTCCAGAGAGGGTCAGGAAGAGGAAGTTAGCTGAAAACGTTCTTATTCTTACTTAATTAAATGAATTTCTGCTCACCATCATTCTCCAGTTATCTCCCTGGGATCCTGAGTCTCGGGAGCTTCGCGCAGAATGCTTCATCCGAATGGGCGACCCACAGAAAGCCATCCAGGATCTGACGCCAACAGTAAGGCTGCGCAATGACAACCGCGCTGCCTTCCTGAAGCTCAGTATGCTCCACTACAGCCTCGGAGAGCACCACGAGTCTCTCAAGTGAGCTTTTTCACTGGACTAAACTACATAAAAAAATATTTTCATGTTCCGAGCAACCTCTGTACTCAGGATTTGTTTAAAGTCATAATAGACAGTACTTGCCTTCGCACCCCCCACTCCTCTCACCCTTCTGTCCGTCCTTCTCTACGCAGTCACATCCGAGAGTGTCTCAAGCTCGACCAGGATGACAAGGAGTGTTTCAGCCACTACAAGCAGGTGAAGAAACTCAGCAAACAGCTGGACGCAGCAGAGGAGCTCATTCAAGAGGCTGGGTCAGTTCTCCTATATGATTTATGCCCTTATTATAATATTCTTCGTACATCTTTACATTTGTTTAACCATGATTTAAATTATTTCACAAATCTGAAACAGAAATTGATTCTCTCCCGACAATCAGGTATCAGGAGGCCATTGATAAGTATGAATCAGTGATGAAAACGGAGCCTAACATAGTTTACTACACCAACCTGGCCAAAGAGCGGATCTGCTTCTGTCTTGTCAAGGTGAGGGACAAAAAGTTTGTTCTTTTAAAGGTCCGGTGCAAGTTTTCGTAGTGACTAATGGTCAGGAAGATCCTTCTGCTCTGCTCGTTCACGCTAAAGTCTTTTTATCTGAAATTTCTCATGCTTATAACCAACACTAGATCAAGTTGGCTCCGGAGGCGATAGACGCATGTTCAGAAGCCCATCAGAGGACCCCCCGCAACACCAACGTCCTCCGAGACCGAGCGGAGGCTTACATCCTCAACCAGGACTACGAGAAAGGTAACAGGACTCAGCTTTATCAATGAGAATAAAGTCGTAGCAGAACTGGTTCCCAGTCTCTTTTGTCTCAAGTCCAGTAACTAAAGACTGCTTCAACAGGAACCAGAACAAAAAAAGCAAACAAAACAAACATGTGGTAGATAAACACTTTGTCGTGATCAATCTTAAAATGTCTTCTCCATGTTTTGGCTTCAGCGGTGGAGGACTACCAGGAGGCGAGAGAGTTTGATAGCGAAAGCAACGAAATCAGAGAAGGACTGGAACGAGCACAGAGACTGCTCAAAGTCTCTCGGAAGAGAGACTACTACAAGATCCTCGGTGTCAACAGGTAACCTCCTTACTTCCTGCTTCACTATATATGTCGGCCCTGTGATTCAATGGCGACCTGTCCAGGGTGTACCCTTGTCTCCAACCACCCTGCAACCCTCGAAGGAAGAGCGCATAACAGGGCTCAATTTGCTTCCTGTGGACTGACATCCAACTACAAATCAGGCCTCTGCAAATCACATCGTCTGATGAACTTTCTTCTTTCTCAGGAATGCCAACAAGCAGGAGATCATCAAGGCGTACAGGAAGCTGGCACAGCAGTGGCATCCAGACAACTTCCAGTCGGAGACCGAGAAGAAGGAGGCGGAAAAGAAATTTATCGACATCGCGTCAGCTAAAGAGGTTCTAACCGACCCAGGTCAGGAGCTAACTGAGTTACTCTTACTTCATTCTAGTTTGAGGAATCGAGCAAGCGGCGACTTGTTAAGAGTCAGTTTCGACACAGTTCAGTTTATGTGTAATTTTCAAGGGTACATCAGAGACTCTACTCGTTCTATTTGTCCAAAGTGTCATATTTCAAGTAAATTTCTAAAAGGTTATCTCACAATCATTTGTCTTTCTGATCTTAAATCTTTCCTCCCCTTCCTTCCTGTTGTTTTGTCAGAAATGAGGCAGAAGTTTGATGCTGGCGAGGATCCGCTGGACCCAGAAAACCAGCAGGGTGGTGGAGGACAACAGAACTGGCCTTTTCACTTCAACCCGTTTGATTCTGGGGGCAGCTTCCACTTCAAGTTCCAGTACAACTAGACTGAGTAGGATGACTTTACGAACACACGGACAGTTAGAGGGGTGGGCGGGGGACATTTTCAGACAGAGGAGACATTGGCAGAAGATTTATGGAGGCGTCTTTCTCCAGAACTTGTGTTTCAGCCTGGATTTAAGGGTTACTGATTTTTTTCAGAGGCTTGAGCTTTTTAGTAAAAGAACCTGGACTTCTTACCACAAAATCTAAAGACAGAGTTACTTCAAGCTGCTATCCTTAGGAACGTAATGGTGATGGTTGAAGGCATTGGACTTTTTTTTTGGGACGTTTGCTCTTATTACTAATTTCTCTTTTTGTGCCATTTTTTAAAAAACCTTATTGAGGAACTTTGTTTTTTTAATCTGCGTGGACATAGATGACTGTCGGTTTTCTTCGCAGTATTCATTTAAAGGAATCAAATGTTTACTGATCTCAGTCGATATTCTTCACAATGTCAAAGCAGCTCCTCACCAGAGAAACTAAATCTGTTGCTTCTAATGAAACCAAGAGTCACACGTTGTCGAGCTTCCACATGAATGTGAACTTTTACAGCTTGTGAGTGTAGAAGTCCTGAAATCCTATGGATCTTAAATCATTGTAGCCACTCTGTGAATGTTTTTTAAGTTCGCTTTAAATTACCATTTTATTTTGTTCAGTCACTTAATTGGAATAACATGTCAAGTTTAGTTAGAAATATAAATTTGTTCATGGGCCATATGTTGAACTGTACGATGGAGTATCAGAAAAAAAAATCAGAGATTTTGAGCAAACATTTGTGATTTAATTAGAAATAAGTCAATTAATGTGAGAGAAAGAAAATAATTTTGGAAACTACAAAACCTTGATCTTGCAAACTCTTTTCAAAATCCTGATACTTATGATAATGTGAAGTATTTTATTAGTGAAACCTACATTCAACTATTTATTGCACAAAGTTGTGGCAACTGATGACTGAGTGAAGAACTGTTTTATTTCTCTCCTCCTCTTTACTGTTTTTGCAGCAAATCTTTTTCATGCACTTTTACCCCAGTTGGAAAACAAAAAAAAACACTCCGTGGTCTCCACCCTGAAATGTTACTGCAGACGTTTAAGAGCCTTTGAAAGACTCTTTGCAAACCAGGTGTGTCTTCAGTGGCTTATCTGATGGTGTCATAGATACGGTCTCAAAGAAAGCGCACACGTCAAATGTTATACTGAGGTGTATTTGGTCCACCAGGTTGCACTGAGGCACAAACTGCAAACTAAAGGTCTAATCAAAGGCCTATTTTACTGACTTGAAAGACAACTGTTTCAACCATTTGTTTTTTTTTTAGCACAATTTAAGTTATTCTGTCAAATGACTGATCCTGCTTTGAATCCCATCTACTTTTTAATTGTGTGAACAAATGTCGACAGGCTCTTTGTATTTAAATCAACTGAGTAGGACTGTTTGGTTTCTGGGTTTTCTGTTGTAAGCAACACCAATTGTATCTGTTGCCAGACTGATGCAGCTGACATGTTCAAGTGTATTAAAATACTGACACAATCAAACTTCCTCATATTCTGTAAAACATAATAAAAGAGGGCAGCGACGCAAAGTCTCAAATACAGCAATTTATTTATAAAACACCACAACAAAGACATTTCCTGTACACAGCACTGAAAAACCTTTTCCACAATTATCAAGGTATCTGCTTTTTGCCCATTTCTTTTCAAACACTGTGACAGCTGTCACTGCTTCTTCAACAATGGAGGGACGTCAGGATTCTGACACAGGAGTTCTGTAAAATCCTCCACAGCACATGTCCGTAGGTCTCCGGGCTCAGCCTCAACCTTGGCTCCACGAGAGTCTGTCGCATGAATGCAACATGAGTGTTGTTCAAGCAGCCAGGGCTTCGTCAGTGGTTCACCGCAAATCCGTCTGTGTCCTCCAGACTATCGGCCTCAACTTCAATGGATACCACGTGGTGACCAGGGATCATAGCCAGGCCCAGGACACGGGGTTCACCCTGGGAGAACGTGTCTGAAAAATGAGATGAAGAATGATCCAAATTGTTATTATTTTAAATCTTAAAATGTAAGCAGCTCATTTAAACCTGCCACATTTGAGCATAAAAGTTGTGAAAGTATACTTAGTACAGTCAAGAAGCCAGTCATAGCAATTAAGATATTAATGACTAATTAATAATTATCTGGTTAGCAAGATGCTCACAGTTCTTGCTGTAGTAGTGTTCCTGCCATGATATCACTCGTGCAGGTGAACCAACATGTTCCTCTGGTGTCAAACTGTATGATTGAAGTGTTGATAGGTGATGGAAAGAACTCTTTAACCTGTGGATTTGAGAAACTCCTGAGCGGAGCCCAGGATGACGTTGCAGTCCCGGTCTGTGCAGAGGAAGAGTCCCACCAGAGTGCGTCCGTCTGTCATGCGGATCCTCATGTTCTTGTTCAGGAGCCCCTCGAGTTTGTGCCTGGCCTGGAAGGACGAGGACACTCCGGACTGCTCCTGTGTGTCCACAGAAAAGTAACTATGGACTTTATCATGACACAGATATTCACTTCACTGATTAACAAATGTATATTTAATTAAAGCTTTTACTTGGTACTGTTTTTAATTAATAAGGATCAAAACAACATTTACATTAGAAGCTCACAGGTAACACACTTCAAGAGTTGCATGAGAAAAGAATTTGAGCTGTGATAATAATATATATTTATTTTTATTGCTGACAATAATCTGCAAGAGATTCTGAGACACATCTGAGTTTGCTGTTAAGCTAGCATCGAGAAACACGTCTTATAATCACACACACACTCAGGAACTTGTACTGTGCATGAACTCAGACCGATATTTAAATCCCAAGGTTCCATGTGCAAGTATTATCTGCTAAATCTTAGTTATTGCAGCATGTTTAACAGGTGTTAAGCTAGTGGTGCAAGCTAATTCGTTAGCCAGCAGCTAATGTTAAACTATAACCGAAGCCTTGACGTTGATAAAGTGTGTTTCAGGTCGAACAGGTTCGTTCTCTCATTTCAAAAATAAGAACAATCAAGTCAAACTAAAAACACATTTACTACATACGTGACTCGAGGGACCATTTTCCTCGATCATTGTCGCCATGGCCGCTTCCTCTCCTCCTTCTGCGTTTGCGCACGGAAGCATTTCTCCGACGGACCAATTCCAAACCGGAAGCTCGGTGTCCAGTTGTGTTTAAAGGGAACGACGCGTAAATAAAACATTTTTAGATTCGAGGTGAAAGTTTAAAGTCAGAGAAAGTGAGAAAGTGACAGAGAAGAGAAGAGCCGGAAACAAACGGACACTAACTTTCACACGTGAGAATTCATCGTTAAAACACGTAAAGCGTCACACCTGAGCTTTAGCATCCTCTTAGCTAAATGTGTTCGATGCAGCCATATTTTTCAGACACAAACATCTTTCCTCGTGACCCTGACTCTTCCTGTAACATTTTAAAGTTAACAAACACAGAGTCTATGATCACTGGAAGCTTTTTAAAGTGTGCGGAACTGTGCTGAACGGCGGCCACACGTGGTGAGAAGGAGACAGCGATGCTTTTTTTATTTCTCTTCATTTCCTCACAGGTACTTCACACAATCAAGTTTGAGTTTTATTTTAACATATGCAAGTTAACGCTGGGTCAACAGCATGATGGAAGGACAAGAAGAAACCACTCAGCTCTTGGTTAAATTAAAATAAAAGTAAAGATAGAGCTTACTTTAAAAAAGTCGTATAAAATACAATACAAAATCAACACACACTCTATAGAAAAGTCCAGTGTTGAAAGCAACACAACAACGGCCATATTTCATTATTTAATGGCTGATTATCCGTTTAACTTGTCATTTTTAAGAGATTCAATAATCTTATTTCATCCTCCTTCAAGTTTTACTTTAAACAATAATTTACAGAGAAGACAAACGTTTGTATTGTTGTGTATCCATCCACATACATTCCCAAAACCTTTGACTTAAAACAAAAGTAAATGCAAATACAGAAACAACAATTTAGGCAATAATTCAGACAATAGAGATATGATGAGACATAATAGGATGGAAAACTGTCAAACAGCCAAACGCAGGAGTATCCACAGATCCAGGAAAATATATATGATTCTATTTTTTATGCATATTTTCAAACTTGGTCATGATAGTGTACAGAGTGTAAAGTGAACATAAAATGAGGTGGATTGTGGAATTGTGTGGGTGCACCTGTGGGTGGAAACACTTCAGCCGCTTACCCTGAATATGGAGAAGATATTATTGTTTAGTCAAAAGAATCAAAGAGCAAGCAGTTTTCAGCTGCATCCCTGATTTACTAATGTGTGTATCTTCTCCTCTCAGACTCAAACCTCAACAAGATCCTTGAATCTCCAGAGGAGGGTACGTCCACACCTGCTCCTGAACTTGAACCGACGGGACCGGTCATGTTTGAAAGCCCCGGGGGAGCGATGAATTTTTGGTTGTGCTGCCTTGGATACAAATTGCCACGGTGACATCGCAGGAGCCACTGCTGGAGGTGAATAACATTCCAAATACATAATACAGGTAACCTGTAGAGCATGCAGCATTGCATCCATTCTGATTTGAGTTTTGCTGACTGTGTGGTGGGCAACAAAGCATGCAAAAGAATGACATGAGGAATGTGATGCCTGGATACAAAGCACTTGATAGGGATATTAATGTCATACCAGTCGTGACCAGTGTGTTTGAATATGATTCGGAGGCGACGAGACAGTAAATAATCCAGTAAGTCACCGTCGTGTGATCAGATGACCTAAAGTAAATGTTTTCAGGAGATGGCTGTAAATGACCAATGGCCTTCTCTGACTTTGACTGAATGTGACCTCTTTATCAAAATCTGCATCTGAATGGACTTTTTAGGCAATAGTGTTTGGTGCAGCAAATGAAACACGACCTTCAGAGTCTGCAAATCTGAAACGGCCCAAGACTCATAATTGGGCTAATAGCTGACTCATGCTCGACTAGAATAAATGTGAGACTTTTGCATCGAACGCTTTGTTGTAATATGTTAGGGTGACATTGTTCTTCACATCCCCTCCTGCATGGGTGTTATTAAGTCATTATCCGCTCCCTGGGTCGCTCGGTTGTTTCAGACAGCTTAGCTCAGCTCTGAGCCGGAGCCGCTGTCTTCCTCTCAGTGTGTGTCACATTGCATAAAATCTGTGTTAGCTGGAGTGCAGTACCCAAGGGAGGCGCTTTTCCCTCTCATCTTCAACATGTCTCCCCCGCCAAACGGACACGGGGGTGGGTGGCAGCAGCAGCAGGAGGGGGGGGGCAGTCACAGCAACAGCACAGTAGTGCAGTGTGTCAGGGCCGCCAGCATAACTGGCTCTCCCATAGTGCAGACACATGCACAGTCATGGCTACAAATATCCCCTCCCTACACACACACACACGGATGCAGTGGGTGACGATACATAAACTACACACATACACTGCGGCCGTCTTGCCAGCCACCCAATTTGGCAACTGCAGACACCTCAGTGGCCAGAGGCTTTTGAGGATGGGAGGTGGGAAGGGTTTGCACTTTCACAGCACAGATACACAACATCTCCTCCTCCCCCTTCGTGGGTCTTGCCTCGCACTGTCTCTCTCTCTCTCTTGGCAGATGTGGCCGTTGGATATGACACTAACAAATTCCTCCCTTTTCATTTGTGGCCGGGTGCAAGCCGAGCCGGAGCTGTTCAGGCACCTGTTGCAGCAGAGATAGAGAGAGAGAGAGAGGGAGAGAGAGTGCACAGCCGATGAGGCAATAATTGAAATGCTTGTTTATATGGTTTCCAGTTATTGGTATGAAAGCAGAGGATGAGTTACACGTATTGTACAGACGAGAGCGCAGCGGAGGAGAGGAAGGAGTGAGTTACTCGGTGTAGCGGAGGTATGGAAGGATAAGCTGTCGGGATGCAACACGTTAAGTCAAGGCTCTCACCTTCCGTCACATTGTTGTCGCTTCTCTTTTCCCTCTTGTCACATTAGACAGAAATATCCAGTGTTGGAACATCATCCTGTGAGAAGTTGTTAGTATCTGGGATTTGAAATAGTTTCGTTTCAGGTTCTGGCCTAAGGTTAATACCAAAAGTACCAGTTGTGTGCGATAGCATTTGAGTTACATAAATAATTTTAGAAATTATGGCACAGAGCTCCTTCCAATCAGGGGCGTTGCATCAGGGTAGGCCTGAAAAGTCCCCTGAAACACTCCAACTGTTTCCACTTATTAACTTATTGTGTCATTGGTTGATGCACTGACTGACACGTGCAAAAAAAACTGTTGTGGCAAGAATGTGTGAGCAGAAGAACATTAAGTAAGACTTTCATTTCTATTGTTTTCAAATATTTTGAGGATTTTGAGGGTCACATTCTTCAATCTTTTTTAAATTGTATTTTATCTCGTTTCTATAACTCCAGTATGAGGACTTGTCCATCATTCTCTTTTATTCATTTAAGTTCAGTGTGAAAGTGCGGAGCTGAGCCCACATGAACAACAGCAGGATCCTCAAACTGAAGCAGCGGAATAGATTCCAGCTTTAATGACTTCATATATGAGTTACACGTGTGCTTTTCCTACTGTGACATGTGAAGATGTCCGAAAGGGAAAGAGGCCAGTGCGACATTACATCAGGCTGCTCAGATGTTTTAATCATCAGGTGAAAATCATAACACAAGGTTGGTTTTCACCACATTTCCTGCTCCTCTATACTTTCCTCTGTCAGCTGTCAGATGCTCATAAGTAGACCTGTTGCTGTCGTCATTAGCTACTGTTTCACGCGGAAGAGAGATTTTCATTAGATTCATAAGAAATAAGGTTTGTTCCGTGGACTTATGCTGCTCTGAGTAAATATTCACTGATTACAACGTATGATTATTGCATTAGTTGTTGCAGGTTTCATTTGCTTTTGCATTGAACCTTTAAAATCTTTATTCTTGCCCCGTGCAGCTCATTTTTGTGTGTGTACCAGTGCCACACTGTCTCCAGTCTGACCTCTTGTCTCATCGAGAGGTTTTGAATGTGAGCAGCAAATCAAAATTCCTTTTTGTCATAACACACGAGCCCCCGAGCCGACCAAGAGGGCTGGATGGGGTCTAGGGATTCCCGTGGCCTCACCATCGCCATCCAGGCGACTCGGCCCCTCTGCCTTCGTCACAATCTGATTTTTTAAAACAAAGGCTCGTGTGTGTTTGTCAAACCTCTGTCTGCAGATGTGGATCGGTCGCTCTGAGCTGTTTTAACATGGTGGTTTTCTGCAGTTTGCATATTGAGAATCATTTTCATCCCCACCACAAGTAGTTAATTTTTAAGCAATACAATCTGATGTAAGTCTGGGCATGGCTGCGGCAGATTTTCCCAACCCCCCTCTCTCTCTCTCTCTCTCTCTCTC